GTGTGTGAGAGAGAGAGACAGAGTGAGTGAGAGAGAGCGTGTGCGTAGTAGGTCTTATGTGAGAACCACCCTGCCAGAACTAATGCTTGGCCCCTATCAAGGTACAACTTGCACAACCGCGCTCTCAAACACATGCCGATGCATAAAACACCAAGAAAAGAAAAAAAAATGAGAGAAAAAAATATATTTTTTGTTACATATGGTTACAGTATCAGATTTCAATCAGAGCGTCAGAGAGTCTACTACACCTAATTGAACTATCCATCCATTATTGTGGCACAGCTGAACACAGCTAGAATTATTTTATGTAAACACCCGAGTCCAAATGCTTTTGATTTGCCCGCCTTAGGGCTTACAATGATAATTTAGAAAATAGAGTGCTTCCAACTTTGTAGCGAATGTTTCTTTTTTTCCATGTGGAAAGGGCCTTCCCTAAAGTGAGGACCATGAAGAAATGGTTTTCCCAAGTTTTGTGTGAAAGAACTTGACTTGCCTGCACAGAGCTCTGACCTCAGCTCCATCAAACACCTTTGGGATGAATTGCAACACTGACGACAAGCCAGGTCTTATCACCCAACATCAGTGGCGGAGCTGAATGGGAAGCAAACCCCTGCAGCCTGGTTCCAAAATGTTGTGGAAAGCCTTCCCAAAAGAGTGGAGGCTGGTATGGCAGCATATTAATTCCCATGGTTGTGGAATTAGAAGTTTAACAATGACACAGTGGTGTCCACATGTCCATATACTTTTGGCCATTGTATATTGAAATGCTAAATCAGACATTAATTTTCATGTGATGTATTGTGTCTCAACTTTATATTAACTTCTCAAGTGGTTTGTTCACTTGAAGAGGCAGCTTGTCAGCATTTGAAATTCAATACTTGTTATTTGCCAGCTGTTATGTCAGGATATGTGTTCTACCTGATTTGTCGGTCTGCACTCTCCACACAGACGTGCTGAGAAGGGACCGTCTTCCATCGCTCCGCCTCCTTCACCATCGCCTCAGCATCCATCAGACCAAAACCATACAGATGGCTGACTGTAGGATGCAGTGAAAAATAACAGTTGATCAGACCACTACATTGTTGACTCTGCTGTTTCTCATACCAATGATGATTTATCAAAAAAATATAGTTTTTAGTTCAGACTCCAGACTTCCTGTAGGAAGAAAAACACAAATTCTTCCTACATCTTGAAGCCATGCAACCAATTTGAAAGAGGGGGGCAGATAACGAATCAGTGGGCAAGCTCTGGACAAGTTTGTAACCATCCTTAAAGACATTATTGTACTGTTTTTAGATTAAGACTGTTATATAGGTTATTACAGAGTCAAAAAACAAACATTTAGAGCATCACCTTGTTGTTTTAACAAGATTTCTCTACTGACTGGTAAAAAACACAGGACATATAAGGTAGTTGTCTAAAGATGAAAAATAAAGTTTGGAAACCGCTCAACTTATGGGTACAGCAGCTCAAATATGAATTCCTTCCATACTTCCACCCTCCCTTCCTTGTTCTGTTTCTCTTTAGTTCATCTTTGAAAAAACAGTCACTTGGAAAATCTCCAGGCACACTGGGCCTGCAGCCTGGCTGACCCCTAGTTCTCACTCTCTTGGTTTCTCTCCCTCACACACACACACACACACACACACACACAGAGAGACTCACACAGACACACATAGACACAGGTATGCAGACACACATAAGCAGGCACTCACAAAGTTACAACACAGCAACTACCACATGGACCCTGACAGCTGGCAGCTGGCGGCGCAGTAGTTAAGCAAGAGGGAAAATGTTTGGAAACTGGCCATAGCCCCTCTTCTGATTGGAGAAAACTAATTCTAGAGTCCAAATAATGCATATTGATTTCTTTGAGAGTGTTTTGTATTTTTCTTTCAAACACACTATACACCACCATGAATAATAAATGCAAATGCTGCTTAATTGATGAGTTGAAACAATGTCTGCTGCAAGAATTTGACAACCCAGAGCATCATCCACAATGTGGTACTGATCTGAACTTGTCAAACACAAAGATTTAGTTTCTCTTTTATCGTTGCTTATTATAATATCAGCTTCACTAATTACAGAAACACAACCCAAAACTAAGATATTTTGGGAAGGTTTTATTATACAGCATTTTTAATTATTATTATTTGTTTGTTTGCTGTTTTTTGGTGGTATGAAAAGAAGATGTACAGATTTATAGCAGTACATCAAAAGAAATATCAAAGAAAGTTAAATAATGCATATAGAAATATCATACAGCTTTGGATAAGGGCCATTTAGTACAAGTACAAATCATAAATGTAAGCATGGCCCAATGCATGATTTAAAGAATTCATTCAGGATGTATCATGAATTCTCACGTCTCACCATTAATAAATCACTATGAGTCACTATGATTTTATGTGAGTAGTTCATGCTTAATGGATAATTGGTTAAATAATGTTAATTCACAGTTGCATTAATTGATATGCAACCAAATTAGCTGGATTCTTAGCCCATGTATTTTGCTCAGCTCTCTGTAAAGATCAGTACTTTATTTTGTTGTCATAGTAAAGTCATGAAAGTTTTTAAATCAAACTAGTTTTCAGATCATTTACACATAAACATACAATATCATGTACGAATTACACTTCTTAACTTATGATCTAGTATGTGATACTAAATAGTTTGTGTGTGCAACAGGAATTCTTGATACACCCTGCATTATTTCACGCATTAAATAAACATTTAATGCAGGAGTTAAAGTTATGCATTCAGTAGTATATCATTTTTACCCTTATTAGAAAGCTTTTGACTGATACAAACTGTGTGTGTGTGTGTG